CCCCCCACTACTCTGTACTGTGTATGGTTTTGTATCCCCCCCACTACTCGGTACTATGTATTGTGTTGTATCCCCCCCCCTTACTACTCTGTACTGTGTATTGTGTTGTATCACGTCTATACGGTCAGGCTAGTCGAGCTACTGGGTCAGCGCAACTCTAGACATGTGACATATTCACGGGAGGGGGAAACTTTAATTTACTAACACATTCAGGATGATGCAGTTTTCATTTATAGGAAAATAATTGAAATAGCGGGATTTCTAAAGGTTTGAAGGTTTAGTTTGTCTAGTTAGTCTAGTTGCCTAGTGCCAACGACAGCGGTGTATCTTCTGAAAGTACGTCTTGTTACAGATAGTTTATTTGAAATCATGCATTTGCATAGTGTGCACAAATTTTACCGATTGCGTACACATTTCATGAAAATAAATGGGGCATGGAAATGTCACAGAAAGTGCATTGTTTTACTTTTATTGGTTAAGATCTAGAAAATTAATAATAACAAAGCTGACATACTATATTGTATTGCATGGACGAGATGGACCTCAGTTCCTAGTGTATCTTAAATAAATGATACAGGGGTTAAACCCACAAATGATGCGACTTCAGAGAAGACTGAACGAAATTAATAAGCTAACTACTTCCCCATATTCATGATTCGCCGCAACTGTATAAAAGTGTGTTACAGAATGTTCTGTGCACACTGCACAGGGGTTTCCCACAAAAAAGGATGCGAACTCTTTTAATACACTGATCGTAAGGCTTAATTTGGCTTTCAGTCTTTAATATAGTTAATTAACGAACTAATTGATTTGACACAGTAAGGAATTAGCTTACAGCCTTACAGGGATTCATAAAATAAGAATTAAGACTGAATAAATCTCTTACAGGGATTCATAAAATAAGAATAAAGACTGAATGAGTCTCTTACAGGGATTCATAAAATAAGAATAAAGACTGAATGAGTCTCTTACAGGGATTCATAAAATAAGAATTAAGACTGAATAAGTCTCTTACAGCCGTTTCTGTCAGGTGAAAGTAACGGCCAATAAAAGGTTATTTCCATGCCAGCCCAAACAAATATTAAACAACAAACCTCTTCGATGAGATTAATCATGAAGTTTGAAGATTTTCACAATCCATTAGGACGAGAGTATCCCCGTCTCTTGGGTTACCCACAAAGAATGAGACTTCATAGACGACTGTTCGGAATATGTACTATATGTTTCCTCACATTCATTATTTCACATAACTGTAAATTAACCTTTTATTTGAAAAATCGTTAAAACAAACCATAAAAACCTATATTTCAGGCGGACAACTTAAGTTGGCCTTTCAATTGTCATATTCTAAGAGTTTCAGGTCAAGTTTACCTGACAGCAACGTATTGATGAAGTAAAGCCATAGAGAATAGAATATATAGAGAGGAATTAAAAGAATCCCTCGGTATGAATTTTTTCAGTCCCTTTCAGCCTGAAAGGAAGTTTAAAGTGTACAAATCATGTAAATGTTCACAAATTATATGCAGTAGAGTACATTAATACAGTATATTCCCTAGACTATTCATTTCAATTTTGAATTTTTTAAACTGTTGAATAAACTTTATAATGAATTAGGTGAATAAAAACATCATTTGATTTATGGTTATAACGGAAAATCATCCTTTGTAAAGTGAAAGGCATAGAGTCTATGTGAAATGATCATTGCTCAATTATGAAACCAGCCTATTTCATAATTTGGTTTTCTTTTAACAATAATTTTAGATTTTCTACAAAATGATATTCCAGGGCCCAACAGGTTATATAGCATAAATATGTGAAGTACATCTGCAGTTTGGAAACGGTACAACAAAATGGCCGTTTAACACTTTTTTCTAGTAAATTCCTCTCTATATATTCTATTCTCTATGAGTAAAGCACTTTAAATGGCTTGTAAAACCAAATTTAATATAGGAATGCACCGAGAATTGTTTAAATCTCTTCCTTGTTCCATGCACAAGATATTTGTCCATTTTTGGATTTATTTTGTTTCAGAGCCGTTTTTTAACAAGGACTAAACCCTAAAAGATATGTGTGTATCAGTAATTTCTATGATTCGAAAACCAATCAAATCAAATGGAGTAAAACAATTATCTAAACCTAAAATTAATGACATAAATTGTTACCTCTGAAACTAAAAATAACTAGTTTTTAATCAAGTTTATTCAACAAAACGTTAAAGAACACGATTTTATAGGATAGATGGAACACCTTTAATGTGACAAGCAGGTGCCCTACCCATTCAATGTACCTTTCCAATGAAATGAGTAGGTATCCTACCCCTCAAATGTAACGAGTAGGTAGTGGGTACCATACTCCTCAAATAAGAGTAGGTAGTGGGTACCATACCATAATAAAGAATAGGTAGTGGGTACCATGCCCCTCAAATGTAAAGAGTAGGTAGTGGGTACCATACCCCTCGAATGAAACAAGTAGGTACCCAACCCCTCCAATGTATCAAGTAGGCACCCTACCCCTCAAATGAAACAGTAGGTAACCTACCCCTCCAATGTATTGAGTAGGCACCCTACCCCTCCAATGAAACAAGTAGGTAACCTACCCTTCCAAAGTACAGAGTAAGTAGCCTACCCCTCCAGTAGGTAACCTACCAGTACCCAACCATTCACTTAAAGTATCAATAACTACATGTTTACAAAACAAACTATAAAAGAAACGAAAATGTTTAATCTTTAAATAATTTTCCAAATACAATTGGAAAAATATCAAAACTGGTTTATAACAATGGCTAACGCTAGGAAAGTTTCAGGCCATTTTCCTTTTACAAAAATAAATTAGGGTAACAAAGAAGAATTCATAAAGATTGAACCATGGAAACAACGAAAGAAACCAAGAAGTAACCCTAGAAGGAAACCTAGAATTAAACCAAGAAGGAAACCAAAAAGAAAACCAAGAATTAAACCAAGAAGGAAACCAAGAATTAAACCAAGAAGGAAACCAAGAATTAAACCAAGAAGGAAACTAAGAAATAAACCTAGAAGGAAACCATGCAGGAAACCAAGAAGGAAACCAAGAAATAAACCTAGAAGGAAACCAAGAATTAAACCAAGAAGGAAACCAAGAAATAAACCTAGAAGGAAACCAAGCAGGAAACCAAGAAGGAAACCAAAAAGAAAACCAAGAATTAAAAAAGAAGAAAACCAAGAATTAAACCAAGAAGGAAACCAAGAATTAAACCAAGAGGGAAACTAAGAAATAAACATAGAAGGAAACCAAGAAGGAAACCAAAAAGAAAACCAAGAAGGAAATCAAAAAGGAAACCTTGAGGAAACCCAGAATGAAACCAAGGAGGGAAACCAAGAAGTAAACGAAGAAGAAAATCCAGAAGGAAACCAAGTAGGAAAACAAGAAGGAAACCAAAAAGTTAACACCAAGAAGGAAACCAAGAATTAAACCAAGAAGGAAACTAAGAAATAAACATAGAAGGAAACCAAGAAGGAAACCAAGAAGGAAACCAAAAAGAACACCAAGAAGGAAATCAAAAAGGAAACCTGGAGGAAACCAAGAAGTAAACGAAGAAGAAAATCAAGAAGGAAACCACGTAGGAAAACAAGAAGGAAACCAAAAAGTTAACACCAAGAAGGAAATCAAGAAGGAAATCAAGAAGGAAATAAGAAAAACTTCTCGAATTTTTTGCTTTGGAAACATATTCAAAAATTATATTGAATCAAATACATTTAATCATGTAATATATATCAAATAATTTAATATAAATATCATAAAACTTAATTTACAAGCACTATACAAAACATTTCCCAGAGATTGAAAGTGCACTTATTAGGCTTGGAGCTATACACATTCCTGTTCTTTACTAAATCTGCTCACAACATGGTTTTCAGCTGCTTTTGTAAATAATCCTAAACACATATTTTTGAGAATAAACCCGTTGAAATATGAGGAAAGATTAAAACAAGGAAAATATAGCTCCAGTACAAAAAGCATTAATTTAACCACTACACGATAACATTTAAGAACATTTTTACTTTAAAAAGGCATTTCGGCGAAAATTGAAAATCTAGTTTTTAATTTATTTAGTCAGAAATAGACATTATTTGGGATCTTTGGTTTGATTCAGTAACCTTCAAGTTTTTGAGTAAAAGCTTGAAGCTTAAAATGTTTCATACAAAATTCCAACATATATATGTATATATGCGGAGATTTAGCAAACATGAAAGACTTGAAAAAAGTATTATATTGAACTTAAAAAAAATGCCATTAGAATCACGACAAACTGTTTTGTCCAGGTTACAGAACAGATAAATTTCTTTCGTAAAAAAGGAGAATTATAATTTCAACTTAATATCTATTGATAAATGAATTTATAAGAACGACTAGGTTAAAGTTTAAAAAGGTATTTTTGGTGACAAAATGTTTCCAGTACTGCTGATTACAAAAAGAGGTAAAAAAATCATTTTTGTTTGCCAAAATTGCAAATAATACTAATCTTATTTGCCGGTGCATAGATGGTGGTATAATTAAATTATATTAAGAAGCAAGCTTACAGTCAGGAAGCTAGTATACCAGAGATAGGAACTTTTGAATTGATAATCTATTCAGAGCACTAAGTCGTTACTTTTGTTTGACAGATTATGTCAATTCCTATTTAATATCTCTCTTAAACACTAGAGGCCATAACAAATTCTACTCTCGAACACCAAAAAGTCGGCTATTTTCACATTTTTACATCTCCTATACTTGATGGATTGACATTAAATGTTTCCGCGCAAGATACTGAGTTAACATGATGTTAATTATCAGTTCCCAATACAAAAGTTCCTTCCTCAGTTCAGATAAGTTTTTGGATTTACAGACGAGATAAAATGTAAGTTTGACATTGAGAAGGTGAAAATATAAAGTATATACACTCAGGTTTGGTAAAAATCCTTCACATTAATAGACATTAGGCTAGTTTTAAGACGTTGGACTGCTTGATTTTGATAGAATAGGCCAGTTATTTAGTTACATCATTTTACTTTTATTAGACCGAATAATTAACAATGCATATTGCAAAGTTATCAGACTGCTAACCTAATTATTTGGCTAATTCATATTTAGTTGATAAAGAACTGCTTTCTATTGAAATATATCTGATTTTAAAGTGAGTAGACTGATTTTAAATACATGGTTAAACTATTGAAAGAGTTTAATAGCTATAGATAGTTGAATAGGTTGTATAATCAGTAAGCTGATTAGATTTGGCAGAAATTAATAAACATTATCTAAGCAATCATCATTTCTAGTTAGCACATGTTTTGAGACTGAAGGTTTAACAACTACATTTAGAATATAAATAATATCCAATCAACAAGAAAACAGATTCATCAATTAGATATTTAAACAACTAGACCACTGAAGATGCACTTGAAAGGCTAAGGAGTAAGGTAAGAAAATGCACAAAAAGAAAAAGCAAATGAAAGCTGCAGCTTATAATTAAATTCCAGAATCTAAGATTTTGTAGAAAGTTTATGACAAGGAAACTTAGAAACTATAAACCACTCATAAAGGATTTTTACCTCGAATGATTGTGTGAACTGCACAGTACACAATGTATTTTGTTAAGAGACCCGTGTTAAGAGTTCTCAAAGTTAGGTGTACTCTAATCAACGTCAAGTGAACGATGGTCAGTGCCAAGTGTACTCTCATCAATGTCGAATGTACTCTGATCAATGTTACACGAACGCTGATTAGTGTCAAGTGTACTTACATAAATATCAAGAAAACGCTGATAAATGTTAGGTTCACTGATCAATATCACTGATCAATATTAAATGAACACTGACCAGTTTTATGTGTACTTTGATCAATATCAAATGAACGCTAATCAGTGTAGGTGTACTCTGATCAATATCAAATGAACGCTGATCAGTGTCAGGTGTACTCTGATCAATATCAAGTGAACGCTGATCAGTGTCAGGTGTACTCTGATCAATATCAAGTGAACGCTATCAGTGTCAGGTGTACTCTGATCAATATTAAGTGAACGCTCTCAGTGTCAGGTGTACTCTGATCAATATCAAGTGAACGCTATCAGTGTCAGGTGTACTCTGATCAATATCAATTGAACGCTGATCAATGTCAAAATCTCTGATAAATATTAATTTAAAGCTGATGAATGTCAAGTGGAAAATGATTAATGTCAAGTGTACTTTGATTAATGCCAAGTACAGAATGAACAATGCCAAGTACAGAATTCTCAGCAGTTCATAATGAGATGGTTAACGTACAGTTCATACATGTGGTTTACAATAAAAATGAACAAGTCTTGTCTATCAATGAAAGCAATGATATAATAGCGTGAGTGCACAGTACAACTAAGTGAACCAATTATCTTAATATGTACAATGTACATAATCAATCATATGTTAAAATATGCTCCCCACAAAGTTTACAAAATGCTTGAATATTAAATAAAGAAAATGCAAAAACAATACAATGGAATGTATCAGAAGATAACAAAGAATGACTTCATTTGCACATGTTTTAGCTGAACAATGAACAATGTCTAGTAAAAAAGTAAAAACAGAAATGTTTGCGGGACTCTTCACGCTTAAAGTCAGCAGAATGGAACCCCCTGTTCCACGTAGAATACGCAGGTCCTCACTTCAGAAAGATTTGAAAACCTAAATAATAATTTTATTGTGTCTACAGTCTACCAGAAATATTTAAGATTTTTAAAAAGGCACAGAACACTTGGCGCTTTTATGAACAGCTGGATTTTCTCTTGGACCGATCGGAAACGAACAGATACATTCCAACTAATGACGAGAGACTAATTTAGCTGCGCTTGTGCAATTCCTTATTAGCAAGTCTTTCAATAGAAATCTTTCTGGGTATTAGAGACATCTTTAAGCGATAAAATATGTATTGTGGGTTGTGTTTCTTATTCCAAAAATTTATTTTCTACTTTATTAATTATTTAAAACTCAAACTGGTTGTGTCAAGTCTTGTATATAATCAATTTCTACCTGAGGTAAACATGTACTAAAGTTCTATATTCTAGGGAGAGATCTGGACACTGTATCGTGACCAAGAGGCGTTGCTGGACCAAGGGGTGTGGCAGGACTGTCCTGGTCGAATGATCCTCCACGACTGTGAAGACCCTAAATAGTTAATTTTAAACCCATTTCTATTGAAATTAAAAATTAGAAGAAAATAGGGTGAATGATGCAAAACAAGAACAATAAATTAAGAAAAATAGAGATAAAAAACCAGCAGCTGCTGTCATATAATTATTTATACAATTTTGTAATAAAATTTGCTAAACCAATATTCAAAATAAATGTTATAAAATTTGAAGAAATAACTTTCAGTACGCAATTAGTATGGAATGTCACTTATTTCGGGATCTGGGTTGTTAAAACAAAATATATTGTACTATTTTTTGGTATTATCCTACACCAGAAGAGTTGATTCGAGTACCTTGGTACTATCCAAAAGTAGCCCCAGCCCCNACTATTCTATAACTGTGTACTAAATACTTTAGTACTATTGTGTACTATAAAACTTAGTACTATTCTTCAATTATGTAATATACCTTAGTACTATTCTAAAATTGTGTACTATACACCTTAGTACTATCCTATGAGTGTGTACTATATACCTTAGTACTATTCTATAATTGTGTACTATATACCTTAGTACTATCCTGTGAGTGTGTCCTAGAGAGGGCAGCTGAACTGGTTCCTTCACCAGAATTTGTTCTTTTCAACGCAGGCCCAGTCTAGATAATTAACTATAAATCTTATACCCCGGCTCTACAACGTTTTTAACATCCCAGCTGATCTTACCCTTAACATTACCAGGGGTTTATATTCTTAAGAATTAACCTAACTTCTGGGGGGGGGGGAAGATTTTCAAAAGAAGGGGGGAAATGATTTTTTAAATATACACATCTGGAAAAACACTCCCTAAATCCTAGCCCACCCCTTCTAATAACTGAAATCAGATTACCAATTTAAATGAAATCCTAATAACAAAAGCAGAACAAAATTATAGAATTGTGAAAGTGCTGTTTAAAATTCTGGAATAAAAGTGAGAAATGTAATGCTCTTCTGCAGTGCTTACTCTAAGAATCTGGATCCGCTGGCTATAGGGATTGCTTTAATATGCGAATCCAGGGATACAGATCCAAGGGGGGAAAATTCCAAGCAAACACTGTTAAAAATTTATTGTACTCTGGATCCGCATCAAAATGAAAAGATCCAATTTCCCAAATGATTGAATCGCCTTGGATAAATTCAACCTTATGAATATAACAAAAAATAGTTTAATCTATACCTGAACTCCTTTTTGATCTGATCCACCATTTTCTTTATCTTTCCGTTTACTGGAGGATCGTCGGACTAACCGCCGATCCTGACGTTCCTTCTCTTTGTCCGATAATCGTCGGCGCAGACCGATCGTACCACCCTAACATTCCACAATTTAATTGAGTTGTTTTATTAAGTAAACAAGTTTTAAAAGGCAGCCAAGTCAATGTGATTTGAAGCCAACATTTTATCAAAATAGATTTTTTTTCTATTAGAAAATTATAATAATTTAAGTTGAAAATACATTAGAATAAACGAAAAAGCACAAAATCTTAATCAAATCTTTAAATAAATAATCTCAAGGTGTTTTACAAGTTCTGACCTGATGGTTCAATCCATCTGGTGGTTTACTAGATATTGGATCCGTCTCCTGACCATGCTTTGGAATCCTAAATATTCATCAGGTTTATCATGTCAAAGGGGTTGTGCGTGTAATAAAGTAAATGTAACGAATCATAAATCCAAAATGATCGCTCTGATGAGTTTTAAAAATTTTAATTGTAAATGATTTTTACGTTCTTGGTCTACGTTGCATAGCAGTATCAATCAATCCATTAGCAAATCAATCAATCAATTAATCAATCAATCAATCAATCAATCAATCAATCAATCAATCAATCAATCAATCCACTTAAGGATGTGCTGTACCTGTCTGGTGGGAAGGCAAAGTTGGATTGTCCCAGAGAAGATGGTCGAGGACTGGACAATCTCTCAGGCCTAAACCAGACACAGGTAGATAAAAGACATTTTTACCATATTTTAGTTGGATATTTAAATTGAAATCAAATCTAGATCTTATTAATGATATTTCTGCAATTCTACATCAATGTGCACTGAACAGGAAAAAGTTCTAACCGATTACTTTCAATTCTTTCAAAAAGACAAGCAACTTAAGAACAAACAAATAAAATAGGAAATACATACAAAACTATGTAAATGTTAAGGAGGATGGGCGTCCTACCTTACTCTTACAGTGACCAGCCCTGAAGGTTCTGACAGAAACCAGTCAGACCTAGCTTTCATTCGCTCAGCTTGCCGCATATGTACCTACACAAGTAAACTGTAAACTCGGATACAAACAGACTTAGCTCAAAATCTAATTAGGAAAATTTATTTCTAAATCTTCAGAAATTTCAAAGGATTTCACCTAACTCGTCGACCAATAACAAATGCAGAATATTTTGTTTACTTGTATTTGCTTTACAAAAGGGACTCTAGAGATCACAAAAAATATTCTATCCAAACATACAAATGAATCTGAAATCTTATAATTAGTATTCATTCATAAATTTTCAACTCGGTTTTTAAAAATAAAAATAGTTAAATTTAAAAAATCTGATTAAAATACCTGGGGAAGACAGGAGGAGGATTTAGTCTCAGATGATGTTTTCTGGAGTACGTTTGAGGTTAACTAAACAAAGGTATTTATATATTCTGGAATATGCTGGAGGTTAACTAAACAAAGGTATTTAAATATTCTGCAGTATGTTTGAGGTTAACTAAACAAAGGTCTTTATTTTTAGTTATAAAATTGCATAACATTAAAACCCAGTAGTTTTTCAATCTATATTATTTATAAAACCGTCCAAATTCTATTTTTTAAAGAGAAATGAAAAATAAATTTCAAATATTTATATATTTCAATTTCTGGTCAAAATAGATATAATTTTAACATCTATTTTTAAATTAAATATTTTTCATACTAAATTTTAAAAAGAGCAGTTAATTTTTTCTCTGACTGTTGTATCTTTCCTTCCTAGACCAAGGAAAAAATGTATTTTGACACATATTTCTGCTTTTCTTTCTCCTAATATTACGCATATTACTATTTGTGTTCCATGCAGAGGTGTCAAATTTCTCTGACAAGTTATGTTGTGGATTGATGATGCAGCTTTTTCAACCAGCTATTGTTCATATTTATTATATACATTCTTACAGGTTGGAAAATTAAAATCACTGCTAAGCGGGGTTTGAAAATTCTGAGGAAAAATTGTCAGATTTCGATATTATAATGACAAATGGGATAAGAAAGGATAGGCAAGGAGTGGATATTTTTGAAAAAAAGAATTCTTGATTCTTGTAAGTTCATCTCGGAAAGATACTTGTACTTGGAACTGACATCTTGATGCTTACACATAGAACCAGATTCAATCAAAAGAATTAAATTGTTTCCGATGAATTCGGATACTTTATAACAGCTAACCAGTAACCAAGATAGTTATTAAGAAGTTTATTTAAAGCTGCAGTAGCAAAATCTGGATCCAGCTAGGTAAAACACCTCCATTCTCCAAGTTAATAGAGCGTTAAAAGATTAATGCAGGCCTTTAATTTATGTAGTTCTGTTTTTTTTATTTTCCATTTGTGTGCTGAGGTGTAACCCCCCCCCCCCCACATATACATCCATGGCTAAAGTTTCTCTAGTTTGCCATTTTCACTTTCTCAAACTGTATCACTGAATACTTATAGAAGCGCCTAGCAAGACCTTACTGTTGCTTCTCTGAAAGCTAAGTGTACACTGCAAAATAAATGTATAAAAAACGCCTTTTAACCTGTTTTGGACGACCTAGAGTAGCACTTCTTCCTTGATTCAGTCCTGACACAGGGGTAGAGGGACTCAGAGTCTAAGTATTTTATATTAAAGGCTTATTTAAGCATTTTCTAGCGCCACAACATTAAATTCACAGTTCCTTCTACTCTTCAACCTTTTATCAGAGAAGCAAAGTGTTTAAGCTGTCATTTCTCTATTAGCAAATCTGTTCTTAAAAACCTGAGCTGATTTTCGTAAAGCGACAACTAATGAATAATGATTAATATTTAACTAATTGTATTTTTCGATAAAAAATCGTCAAATTATATCAAGTCAAAAGAGCAACTTATAATATATTGTATAAATAATACACTTCGAAATGTCTATTGGCGCCGAATTTCTTCTGGAAATAATCCTATGCAAACATAACTTAATGAAAAAGTATCTAAATATTTTAAAAAGATTGTAACAACTTAATATTTAAGTTCCCCGTCTCACCTGATCCAAAGATATGGATAACCGTCCCTGCTCCAGGGTTAAGTTTTCAGGTATACATTCTAAACTACCAGTCTCGGGGACATCAGACAGTCTGGAACAAACATAAAGTTTTATCATCAACATTTCAAACATCATTTTAAGGAACCACTAAACTACAAAAAACACTAAAATAGTTTTTAGATTTCAATTGGTTTGGGTAAAATATTTCTTACGCATCCATTCATGTTACTATTAACAGTTGCCATGCTTATGTTCAACCCCAGTCAAACTTACAGAAATAAAAAATCTTTTTTAAACAAGTTTTCCTCCAGTAGGCAGTGTAGGCACGCATGAATTATTTTCCAATTAGATTAGAATAATTTGTAAAATAAAAAATCCCTTCTTTGTGTCTTCTCAGAGAGTGAAACTTTTACCACAAAGGTAAGGCTCTTGCATCATTTTCTATAAATACCATGATCCCGGCATAAATTGGAGATGAAAACGCTTACGAAAAAGATAACTTTTAAAGATTAATTTACATTGTACATATATTTAATGTATCTTTTTGTTAAACTGAACTAGAAATAAAATATTAAATCATGGTTTCAAAATAAGATATTTTGTAAAATATATTTGCTTACCTGTGATTTAGGGAGGTGTGCATATCATCCCTTGTTCCTAACATCTCAAGAGGATAAGTGAAGAATATGAACTTATCCTAGATAGATAGATATTTTTATCCAGATCCAAACCAGTTTAGGTCTGGATTAAGGTCATGAACATTTCTTTTAAACTGATGTTTTTAACAGATTGGATCCTAAGCACTGGCTGAGAGAGTATGAAAGGGTCAGAGGCTGTTTATGGGGGGGAGGGGGGAAGGGGAAATTGGTGTACGTCCCCCTTCCAATATTTTAATTATTCCCCCCCTGAAATATATCATAAACCGTCCCTAGAAAGAGTAATTAATTTATCAATTAAAAAAAGAATTTACCTCAATCCTGAGTATTCTACCCGTTAATCTAGCGTAGTACTCATATATATCCTTACTAAACAGCCAGGTCATCCTCAAATATAAGGTCAATAATAATAAAAATATCGTAGGTCAATTATCAGCTTTGTGCAGATCTCATGTTGGGAGGGGAGGTTCAGATTTGCTTTACTGTGACTTATTAGGACCTTGAAGTAAAAAACAAAGCTTTCATGAGCCTGGCTTTCCAATCCTGCCGCCCGGACAAAATGCCGACCTTTGTTATTGTTTTGATAATAGCACTCCAAATACGTCACATTAAGGTGTGTACACAAACACTACCCCCCTACCCCTTTTCATATTAGTTGAGCCCATTATTGAATTAATTATATTTTAAAGTTTGATTTAGTTATAATAATCAAAAATAACAGGTAACACTTACCCAAAGTGTTCTATGAAGTATGAAGTGACTTTTGTTGCATTCTAAACAGGAAAATATATTAGACTTTACATCATTAAAGGGTATATTTCCCCGCCATTGAACCTCTTCATGAAAATCAATATGAGCTCTAGAATCCAATCTTATTGCGAGTTTGATAACAAAAATAAACACAGAACTAAAATAAAATAAAATAAGAAAGTAACAATATAAACTATTTTAACAAGTTTCATTAAAATATTTTGTCGCTAAATAAAATATTTATGTGACCAAGTAAACCAAATTATTGATAAATATAACACTCCCAATTAATACCAAGATCAGAGCAAAGCCAATCATTTATCATGCAAAAATAGTTAAATCAGGCCCCAAGCATTAACACTGCCTGAACCTTTAAACACCTTTTATTGTATTAAAGCAACTCTTCCCAGTCCAGGGTTAATTAAATCCAAACTAATTTTGTCTCGTATATTTAGTAAACAAAGGAAACAAAATTGGTAGTAATTTTTCGACGCCATTTAATTTTTCACTTTCTCGATACGTAATTTGTACATTTTAAGTAAATTTTATTTCTGTCTAAACTTTCATACCAATAAATCTGCTAACATTTTAATTTGATAAACATTGAACCCTCTTTTATGACAAAAAAAATCAGTTAAGAAAACTGACTAGGATTGTAAAATGGAGATAGACATTAGACATATGCTAAAATTTACATTTCTAGTTATATACAATCAAATAAACATAAACATAAATGTATCTTCTGGTGCACGTAGTGGACATGATAACGGATATACTGTTTTTTGTTGGGGCTGCCAAGACGCCCCTTCCCCAGGTAAAAATTTAAAATATAAAACCATTTATTGAGAAGTTATCCCCTTTACCCAAAATTTTAAATTTAAGGATATAAGAATCACATCCTGACCTTATTGTCAATGTACATACTATACTATAANCGTTTATTTTTCTAAGCAAACAAATTTTAATCCCAGTTCAAGTGTAAAGACTTCTCTCCCATGATAAGGACTCAATAAGCTTAGCATTAATAAGCTAAGGGAAGGAGTTAAGATTTTGCTAAAATGCAAATAATAATTTTAACAATTTTTCGTTCCCAAGAAATATTAATAAAGGTTAACTTAGCCTACTAATACCTGATATTAATATTTCTCTGTTTTACCAAACCCCCCCCCCATAGGTAAATTGTGAATCACAAAATCTTATTTGATACAGATAACATAAATGCAACATAAACGAAATGAAAATGGAGTTTTAAAATTAAGATGGGATGAATGTCTTTACGACGGTGAATTTAAATACCTAAGTGTGGGACGTGTGTACTGGGTAAGAATACATTCAAAATTTAGCTCTATGTGAACAAATTCTAATCAAACTAAAAACATCGATTTTAAATTTTAAATTTCCTTAATATACATTATACAAGGCAATAAATTCGAATTTTTCAATTTTGTTTACATTCATAAATATAAGATTATAACAGACGTATAAAATAATTCAAACAATCACTTGCAGTAATTCATCAGATCTAGTGCAGTGCGGTGGGTCCCGGAAACAGTTTAATTAGGGGTACGCAATATTCAAGAAAAGTGAAAATGTTATAAGGGATACCCAACTATTTACATTTTACACCAGCAAAAACTTACTGCAATGTTAGAAACACACTCATCGATAAGTTTTTCCTAAAAATTAAAATAATAAAAACCTTTGAAGATAAGTGCAACAAAGGTATGTGTAATTTGTATACACTATACAAATACATATTGGCTAGACCTCGAGCTAGATAGGATATAGTAAAATATATAAGAATTATACTTTCAGCAAAGTATCTTATTAGGCTTGGTGATAGTATGTTAAAATTTTGGTAATTGTGTATTTATGTATAACACTAATTTTGCTCTGTTTCCTTGTTTATAAAATTTTAAGTATACTAACTTAAAAATAATAAGAAGGAAAGTATCTTTTAGAAAAAAATAGCTAAAATGAAAATTAATATAGATTAAATAATTTAATTAGTAATCGATTCGTTCTATCAGATTTTCTATTCGATGTTTCTGTTAAGTGGTTCAAACCTCAATGTGTAGCACGGTGAGATAAGATAAAATAAGATAAGGGAGGATCTGAAGACCCCCCCCCCCCATTTTGGAGAGCCCAGACCGCCATCGGGGCTAACTCCCATGAGCTCCGACAACCCCTGGCTAGTTTACAATTGCAATCTGTCGAAAAAATGAAAAAGGAGTGAATATTTTACTAGAAAAAAATTCCCCCCCCCTCACCCCATTTCTAAAATCATTTATAATGATTTTGAAAAACAAATAAATGACTTTTTAGTAAATGGGGGAAAACTTAATGTCCAATTTTTTGTATGCCAACCCAAACAAAAAAATTCTTCGCAAATTATTTTTAAAAATTTACATAAAAACCTCTGTATAAATTAAATTTTCCAGAAACATCGAATGAAAAAAATAACAAAAACCAACACATTACGCCAGAATTAACGATTAACAAACAAAGACGAAAATATTAAAGATTTCTAAACTGTTCAATAATAAATAAGCAGTGGCATGTTTTTTAAACACAAATTTTAACATATAAAAAGACGATAAATAAAAAATGGTGGAATTCTCACCTTAAACCTTTCAACATCTTCCATCTTTGCAGCTTTCCCCGTGCTGCAGGTGTGGAAGAAGGAGGGAGCAACACTAATCAATATTTAAAATCATTTAGCTTTCTTAATATGTAAAAGTATACATTTTCAGTCCATCTCGTCCACTTCAGTATTAAAACGGCTGAACCGAATGGACTAGTTCATTGTGTGTGACACGGCGTTACGTCCGATGAATTTTTGCAAATCACAAAAAAAATTTAATTTGAGGCAATGCAAATTTGAACTTGTCCGGGAAAAATTTAAATCCCACAGGATGGTGTCTCATTTTCATCCATTTATCCAATAATATTAATAATATCAATAATTGTAAATAATTTCAATTATACATTACAGTTTTGTTATGGTAAATTAATAAAATAACCATTTTCTTTAACATTTATAAAAAAAACAATCTATGTAATATGTATATAATAAAGCTCTTCGCTCATATATATATTGGTGTATATATACATTACTCAATAATATCAGAAATATATTTAACGGATTCATACTGGACTTATGAAGCGAAATGCACTAGTCCAGTCGCTGTTTGTGTGCAGTGGGGAGGTGACTTCTGTCACTGGCCTAGACCTCGATGTCTCGATCACACTAGACTTATGTCATAATCGGATATACATTAATTTCCACCCTTTGGTGGTTATTTTTGATGGGGTCTCGGCCTTGATTTCGACGGAATGATGGTTGATCTTTTATTTATTTATTTATATATACATTTTTTTCAAAATTGGATTTTTTTAAATACCACATGCAACGCCGGGCACTTGCGATAGTAATAAATGAAACTGGGTTAAAACCTACCTGACTCCTAAGGCCTCGGCGGTCATACCAGTCTTCTCACTCTTTGTAGATATCACTCTTAACAAATAATTTGTAAATAAAAAGCTTTTTGAAAAATTCTAATGTTTAACTGCCATATTAAGAAACATATGAAGACTGTAGAACATGTGAAGGTAGTTTAATTTTCGCATTTTCCCGTTGAAATAACTATTCAAATACCTAAACTTTCAAAACACCGGCACTTTCAAAATATATGTACATTAAAAAAAATATCCCGACTTTCTAAATATCTGTACTGTCTGTCTAACCCATATATTTCCAAAATATCTATACTTTTATAATATCTGAATTTTTAAATTACCAGTACTTAGAAATACTAGAAACTGAACTTTCAAAATTACTGTACTTTTGAAATAACTGTACTTTCGAAATAACTGTACTTTCGAAATATATGTCTTACTTTCTAAATACCTGAACTTCTGAAATATCTCTTTTTTTCAGATATCATGACTGTCCAATTATTTGTATTTAAAAATGAATACAGAAATACAAGAGCTAAGATTTAAATCCGGGGAGGGGCACAGTGGTTTTTTGTCTTTTAAAACTTTTTTGTCTTTTAAGTTTAAAATCTGCAAATTTGCTAAAATAAAATTTATATTATAAATTTGCAATTTTCGAGAAAATTTTTTTAAAAACCATCATTGTTTTGGGTATTATTTTTACTATCAAAATCCTAACTTTTCTCGCAATGTCGTAATTTTGTATCAACCTTAAACATTTTTTAAGTTTTAAAATTTGAAAATTTGCAAAAATAAAACTTGTATCCTAAATATTTCATTCTTGAAAAATTAAATTTTAAGTAATAATTTTTTGTGGGAATAGTTTTGCTATCAAAATCCCACTTTTTATCGCAATATTGTAATAATGATGATTTTTTCCGCTAGTAGAGTAAACTTGTGGCATATACCATTTTAAAGGAAATGAATGCTCTCTAGTTTTAGAATCTTATATGGTTTAGTATTAACCGTTTTTGAGATAATTTGATAATCGAAAAAAGAAGGAATTATTTTTGCAAAAAGACATGAATATTTTTTTAATTTCTAATCTTCTGAAGAACTTAACTTCTTAAAAATTTATCTTCAATACCTAAGTTTTTTTAAATAGAGCTACAATATACATAAGAAATAGTTTTGATTTTTTATGAATGCTTTAGAAATATTGACCATAGCGCCTGTAAAAGAAATATGCGTTTTTTTTCTATGACATTTCTTAGAAATTTGAAATTTTCAATTTCGTTGAACTTTGAACGATTAGAACTTTTTTTTTATCTGACAAACTATCTTTGTTAGATTTGTTCCCCCCTGAATTAACTTGGCAATAAAGATGTCGTAATTGAACGCAGCAAAACAGGGCTGCCAGAAAACTAGAAGATTGGAAAATGAATACCTGCATTCTTCATTAAATACATGTATCAATCATAATAAAAAATATCCGAAAAAGTAAATTGTTAAAAAAGAATGTTACCTGAAAGTACCGAACAGTAGGACGAGTAGCTGTTGAGAGTGGAGGGGTAAAGAGTTCATAATATTCTGCACTCTCCTGAAATTGACAGGATTTTAGGAATTTAAAAAAAATATCAAAAGACAAAAAAAGGGACGCAAGTTTTTTGCTGAACTTTCCCCCTAAAGAAGTGTCCGTAATTTTAAAATAACAAACCCAATTAGTATCTCTACACTAGAAAGATTATTTTTCAAATCACCCTTACCTTTTCCTTTCCTCTTCGTTTCCTGATCTCATAACTTGGAACAGTATTCGCTCATTCTCAGGTCCAAATATACCACCAGGGATTTTCCGCAGAAACTGTTGGTTTTAATAATTTATTTTAATTGTACATAATTGTACATAATTGTACATAATTGTACATAATTGTACATAATTGTACATAATTGTACATAATTGTACATAATTGTACATAATTGTACATAGTAACATATCTTCTCCCAGAACCTTATTAACATTTAACCATCCGAAATTTTTTCTTATTAATAGAAATCGTAAAAAATTTATATTCAGATGACTGAATCATAGATTTACCAGAAAGGTTCAGATACGTTGTATGTTTTTATACACAATAACATCTTATATAAAATTCTCCTCTCATGATTCTCAAATAATCACAGTTTTAGGATATAAAACATGGTTCTTTCCATTCTAATGGTTTATTGAGGATATACTCCC